ATTAAAAGTTCTGGTCTCTTCACTCTAAGATGACTGCCTCATGCAATCTGTAAAAGCTCCTCAGTGATGGAAGCTGGCTTGCCAAAATGGCAGCAGCAGGCAGGCTTCCACTACCTACCAATCCCTCCTAAAAGAGGTCTTTTGGAATCCAAGAAAAAAAATAAAAATCTGCTAGCATGTATACTAGTATAATTTTTAGCTGAAGAATTCAGAACCCAAACCTAGGGCATTACTAGGATGCTGCATTTGTATATTCCTCTGCTCTAATAATCAAGGAGGACACTCTAATACAGACTATAATATACAGTGACAATACAAAACAGAGCAACAATCCACATGTCCAATTTCAGTCATTCTTATTAGGTTTTCCACCGGTATCAAACCTCACGGTTGACATATTTTACAAACAACATTATTTTGAATAAAAGCCCTGATACATTGAAAACTGCAGTTAAAGACATAACTGTTCAGAAAAAAAATACCATTTAATACTAAACCAATTCTTTAAAACTTAGTATTTATTAGTAGTTGGAAAATACACAATGGTGCTCAAAGACCTACTTGGAAATAAAATCTAGGGTGTGAGGCTTTGTTTTTCTTTGCACTTGTCCAGTTATTACCTTTAAAGGCTGCTATTTAGTTTCAGGCATACAAGAGGTGCAGAAAAGACACAATGTGCAGGAAGGTAAATATTACAGTATTAATCAAGCCTTTAAAGATATATTATTTTTACTCAGTTTCTTCTGAAAAAGCATACACAGTTATGTGTATTTTTAGGTTATACATAACCTAAAAAACCTAAAAAAAATATGTTTTTTTAGAGTACACAAACAAAATAACTGTGACAATCGACTGCTAGTTCAATTACTAAGCAATTTTAAAGGATAATTAGGAACCTTAAATAATTTAAGAAATCTATTCACATTAGGACACTAGCAAAATTTAAGTTTCTACTTGCTAGCTCTCCTGTTTGAATTTTAGGATGAAGATTCTCCTTTCGTTTAAAAAATCCTCACAAATTGCATAAAAAACAGTATACAGAGATGTAATCCATAAATATGTAAAAATTATACATGTCATTCTAGGACAAGGCATGTTCTTTACTAACCAAAGCATAAGCACTTCTAGAACCTAATCACAACAAGTCTTTTTATTTGAAAAATTCAATTAGGAAAAATGGAAATATCAACAAAAAATTGTCTACAGTTACTGGAAGTTGGTTTAATTGGGTTTTGAAACTAACAATTTGCAAGAATATTGTTATTTATTGTTATAAATAACCAGCTCAGATGATGCAAGGAAAGATAACTGTAATGCTTAACAGTTAAACCTCTTCAATTAACCACTATAAAAACTCCCTTACACAATCTATGCCAAGTGGTCAATATAATTTGCATTGTTTGAGCTGTTGTTTCTATAAAGATTTAAGTACATACTTAAATCCTGTGGTATTAATTATATGAATAAAGTGAAATATATCCTTAATATCTTGCAAAATCAGGTTTTAGGAATGGTTTCAGGTAGGTCTGAAAATTTAGTATGCAGAAGACAATGTTTTCCATAATATTAACAATAAATATTGCTTGTATTTCCATATCTTTTAAAACTCACTCTTCTGGAATCTAATGATTCAAGTATTTAATCTCATCCTTTAAGGTGCATGATTTAGCATTTATAATTTTGGGGGCTGACAATATAAGCTTCTGGAATTCCTTTAATAGCCATATTAATTTAAGAGTGCAAGATAATATTAGAAATAGTTATGAGTCCTGATAAGGTCTATGTTAATTCCTAACTCTTGAGAAGAGAATTTCATACTTTTATCCCTATCAAATTTCTTTCTCATATTGCACAAGCATCCCCAGTCAGTTGACAATTTCATCACTGCAGTAAGCCTGTAGCTGTCAAAAACTTACCATGCTAAGAAAGCTTTTCAAATCCATACAGAAATTTGAAAGGTGAAAGAAAAACCCTAAGGCAGAATGTGTATTTGGTGCATATCAGAGTATTAACATTACATATTTACAAATAACTTATTTTGCTATGTAAGTTGACTACTATGATTTTCACCAGATGGTGTTTTCAAGATATTTTTCTTCATTCTTAGATAGAACAAATGGGATTAATAATGTCTGAAGCATACAAATGTGTCCCGGTCTGAGTCCAATAGGAAAGAGGACTATTTCCTAGCCATTAACAGACAGAGCTAAGGGTTTTGGGCTGCCAAGGAATGTAACACCATATATTTGCACTGTCATAGCTTTATAATAAAATAGAAAAATAGTAATACCCAGTCGAGGGTTTGTAGTACTTTGCACCTAAGAATCTCAAAACAGTAATTTGCCTACAAAGAAATGGAATACTTCATATGGATACAGTCTTTTTCTTCATGTAATATTGATGTGTAATTTATAGTTTGATTATTTATTTTTGTGATAGCATAGATTGCTTGTCCTAGTACTGGCTTTCTTTTTACTGAGTTTCACTCGCAGAACTTTACTTCTCTCTCTCTCTCTCTCTCTCTTTTTTTTTTTTTTTTTTTTTTTTCCCGTGAGCCTTCTGGCCTTATTCTAATTACTACTGCATGTTCTAAAATACTTGTTTTATTTTTCCCAAGTTTTGGGTCATTATCCATTTTGGTATTTTATATATTATTTTAAAATCTCAAATACAATTTTAAAACCTCAAATGTAATTTTAAAGACTACAGAAAAGCTCTAATACTTCTAAAAGTTATTTAAGTTGCATCAAAATTCTCCTGTAGAAAACTTTACATCTGATATGATGGCTTTATGTGTACTATGTGTAAGTACACAGTGAGATCTTTTTCAACATTCTCTGATGAAATGTCTGCATATGTTTTACAAGTGTTATATAGTGATTTTTTCTCATACTTGTCCCTTGGTACTACATAGAATCAAACTGTGAAAACCCTACAAGCTGATTTGAAAAATATATAATTTTCAGTCTACAAGAACTTTTTAGTAACAATATGAAGATAAATATTGAAGATTGTTACTTTCAGAACTTCAAGAAATAAAACAAAAGAAATAGAAAAATAAATTATTTATATAATAGGGAGAAAATACTGTCATTTTCAGTGACACAAAGGCAAGAAAGAATCTGGATACTCAATTATATTCTTGCAAAGACAATTTGTCTCCTGAGGTTGGGTTTATGGCATACTGGCAAGGCTGTATGTGTTGTATTATTAAGGGTGTTTCTACTACTTTTTTACATCTGCCATTCTAAGTATTCCCTGAGCACAATAACACAAGCATTTTAAGAAATACTGTTTTAAGGCTTTGTCATTAAAATAGCTGTACATTACAGAAGATTTTAAGTCCAAATGCCACCAACGTTACTGAACTAGACTTGTAGCAGAATTTGGGATCCATCTAAAGAAAATCAGACACATAGGACCACCTAAAATCGTCCAAAAATAACTTTTTATTTATCTGTAGCCCTCAAGCAATATGACTGAAAATTTGAAGAATAAGCTAGCTATAAGTGAACGTAAGAGGGATTTCATGTTCACACTTAGCATCTTGGTTATTAAGGACTTCATTGTTTTTATGTCCACATGGAAAGAAAAAGAATATCAGAACCAGACCCAAAACTAATTGAAAAGATGACTGTAAAGAAGGTAGAAAGTTTCCAGCTACTTTCAGAATGAGAAAATCATATAACATGCAATCCAATAATATAAAAAAAAGTTTCACCTCAAAACATTCTAACTTCCCATCCCAGACAGATGTCCATTTAAAACTCATTATCCAAAAAAGATGGGAATCAACTACATTTAACAAAAGCAATGTTTCATCATTGTGGCAGATTCCCTGTGCAACAATCTGTCCCAAATAATTATTTTTTCAATGAAGTGTATTTGATATGATCACCTATTAAATTTTACAAAACAAACAGCTCAATTAGAATAAAGTATGAATAACAATACACTGCTTTTACTATAAGAGAGAAAAATCTTTTGTCAGTTACCTATGGACAAATAGTAATCATCTGCTGATGAAGGCACAGCACATGGTAAAATAGTGTTGAACGTGTTAGCTGTCCTAAATGAATGCATTATTTATGGATTCAGTTCTAACTTGTTTGCAAACTATGTGAATTATTAAACCTCTTGAGAAACAATTAAAATATGTGTTTTTAAAATACACCAGTAAAAGAATTTTTACTTTGTTCACACTTACTAAAGTCTTGCTCCAGAAAGGTACCATTTCACTAAAGCTACTTGCAGGTACAAAAATGGAGCTATTTGTTGCTTCTGGAACTAAGGTCTCAGTTCACTTAATAACGTTCATTTTTTTTAAACAATAGAAATAATCACCATCGTTTATTAAAAATGCTAAATAAAGTCCAGATATCTAAAGTGTATAATATTAAAAAAGCATCTTAAAGATAAAAAGACAAAACAAAAAGTTTTCTGTTTACAGTCTTATATCATAGCTAGAACTATAAATAATGAAATATAATTTTATTTGAAATATAAGATTTATCTCCTAGGCTGAAAGATTAAAAAAAAAAAAAGAAAAAAAGAAAGTTTATTGGTGTTCAAGGATATTGTGCAATTAATAATGCCTGCACAAAAATGCTCTCTGGATCTGCAGTTCCAGATCCAGATTTATTTTTTTGTTGAAAGTCATTATTTTAAAATCTTCCAGGGGAAAAACATTATTTCCTAGTTTTTTTAAATGAATCATGCTCAAAAATCCTTTTCTGAAAATTCACTCAAAGATTCAAGGGCCCGCAACTGAATTTATACTCTGGTTTTGTACGACTGTTCAACAGGGTATTCATATCAGTTTGTAAAAGCCATCAACAACTTAAGAGGGCTATAAATTTAAATCCCTGCATTTGTGGATACAGAATTAGCACAATACAGCTGATATTGAAAATAAAACGTTTCTGTTCCTGTACACATTTGAATGATATGCTGTAAATCATATTATAATCATCCAGTAACTGTTCACTTCATTAATTACACTAACCTGTTTTTCTGGGAAGAAAAGGTAGTCTGTGAACTGAAGAGCTGAAATCTTTTGCTTCTTTAAGACTAAAGCAACTAGATGGGCTCCGATTTTCTTCCAAGTTTACAGAAAGAGACCGCTCCAAGACTGTAGAACCAGCAGAGGCAGCATTAAGCTGGAAAAGAGCATCTTGTGCTTTCTTTTTTTCATGTTTTAGCATATTTACCAGAATATCTGCAAGATAAGTTAAGGAAATAATTAAAAACCTCTTTTCTTTAAAGCAACAGCCTATATGTGAAAGTGAATTTGGAGTTGGGCATATTCTGTGTAATTGTAGTCATCCACCTTAGTTTCTCCAAACAGCAGGTTCATTTTTACTAAACAGTAACAAATTCACAGCTTGAACACAATTGAACCCATTCAATGAAAAAAAAAAAACATTTACAGATCAACAAGAATGAAAACTCTAGTATCCTATTGCCAGTGTGACACTCCCTTTTTTATTTTTTAAATTCTGTAATAAACAACATTTCTAAACAAAAGAAAAAAACTCCTTAACTTACAGGTAGCCTGGCAAGTACCTTGTATCTTTAAGATTTTCACAATACGAAGGTTTACTAAAATGCAGAACAGGTCTCTAGAAAATTTCTTCCAATACCACTAAGTATTTACTGGAAGTATATTCCCACCATTTATTTACATTAGACTTGTCATTAATTTTTTTATGATGATGTGCAGTCACTTAGCAGCTGCAGACTCTGTAAATCAGTTTTGAGTTCAAAGTCTTATATTCTTCCTCTATAACTCTAACAAGGATTTACACAAGTTTCTTCCTCGTACTTCTGCAAAAAAAGCTGTATATATCTTTCAAGCACAAGCACATTGTTTTTTATCTATTCTAAAGGCAAATAGCCCAATAGTCCTCAAAGTAGCACTTCATTTGGCTAAAAATAACACTTACAGGAAATTCTATTCTTTGTAAGGTAATAAATTGGTCTTTATATAGTATCAGGGTTTCTCATTCTAAAAAATTGTTTAACTTGCTTGAGGAGATTTTAGGCATGGCCTTATGCACAGTATTTGTATCTTGGCTGGACTGTTCTAAAGTTAAGTGATGCTTGGATCCAGGATTTTGGTTTGGGTCACAACTGAAATAGAAGCAGGTGCAAAGCAAAACTCCTGCCACATAAAAGTTGGGAACTGAGTAATTGCTTTAACACAGTGGTCAGCAGAGAGAATTTCCTTCTATACAGCTAAGGTCTATCTCATATACACAAGAATAATTGTGGCCAGATCAGCTCAAATCCAAATATTTTTTTTTTCCTCACAAAGGATACTGATTTCATTGTCTCTTTGCTGCAGAAGTTTTTTCATTTTTTCCAGTTCTTCTCCTGCTTCTTTGTTAGTGTCTTTTTCTTCAGAGATGTGTGATGAGAGCAGTTTTTGATCAGAATTCTTTGAATGGTTCATTAGTTGCTATTAGGAGAAACAAAAAAACCACATTCTCTTAACTTTACTTCCAGCTATGTATTTATTCTACTTTGAGACTGTCTAGCTGTAAAAAAGGTAAGGCCTTTCTAGACTCTTGACAAAACAAAATCATGCCACCATTTGTCTGTCCAGTTATATGCATTGTGTCAAATATGGGGCAGGTTGTATTTGTTGATCTTCATTATCAAGTGTACAATTTACCTTACTCTTTCTACACATAAATTCCAGTGTTCTCTAGTATTACAGAGCTTTCAATATTAACAATATGACTAAAATCTAATTATTTAAAGACAATAAGTTAAGATCAGGAAGGTATAAATTATTATATTGAAAAACTATACCCAAAACATGGAAAAGTATATATTATATTCTGTTGCTTTCCCTATTAATTTCACTTGTTCTTCCTAGTTTAACTGCATCTTGTTTGTGTGATGATTTAGAAGGGTTTACAACACCGTCGGGAGAGTTAGTGTAACAGATTCAGGGATATGCTGTTTTTATCCTTTATCTGTTTCAACATAGCTTGTCCAAAATAAAGTCTCCATCATGCTGGGAATACAGATGGACACATCTAACCATATACAAATAACATGTCTTTGTGGATTCCAATAAATTCCTGTGCTCTCTTACAATTTATTGCATGCTGAGATCCTTTCTGGGGTTTCAGCAAAATGCTGCTGAATTTTTCTAACTAAATTTCAAATTTCTATCAGTCCTCCATGCACTTTACAGTTCAATTCCCTTACCCTTTTGCAATCCCTATCAACTGTATTGCATTTCTTTTGACACTTTTCAATCATGAATGTCCTCAAGCTATTTTCAGTGCCAGCTGTACTTCCATCTGTGTTTAAAATATCTACCTTCATGTGAATGAAGCAATACTTGATCTTGCGCATGTCAGCATCAACATCCAGAGTGCTATCAGGGTCATTATCTTTAAGAAATATTTCAATTAACTCATCCAACCTGAAAATACATAGTATTTTTAAGGGAAAAAAAAAGTAACAACAAACAAGCAGACAACTCTGTAAATAATGTGTCAAATACAATACAAGATTTACCAAGCTGCCTGATATTAGTAGGCTACTTTCCTTCAAGGTCCATGCAATTTCAGTGTACTTTTGTTCCTGATACTAAAACCTAGATTTGATATTGGAGATTCTACAATTCTATATCAGAACATATTTGCACATGCTAAGGAATAGTTGTAGAACTAAAAACATCTAAGTAGTAATCTTTTAGTTTTCTCATTTATTTTATAAACTTATGTTCTTCTGTTATCTCATAATTGAAAAGATCTGAAGCCTGCCCCCTCAGAAGGCTAGGTTTTTAGAGGCTTTGGGCATAGCATTTTTAAAATATATATTATTATTATTTGTACAAAAGAAAATCTACTTCCTCTTGTTTTACAAGAGTCAACAGATAGCATAGCTTTCATACATAAAATCACCTGCTAAAATCACCAAGCAAAGTAACATATCTTTTGATACAGATAATATGAGATTTCTCAAAGACCTACTACTCTTCTTCTGATTAATTACATGTAGTTAGTATTTTATTCTCTTGCAATTTATTCTTTAATAAACATCTGACAACACCTTCCTTAGACAGGAGCAGTTGTGATTTCAATAATTCGGAAAACCTGTGACACAGGAGCATCCTCTTGCTCTTTCAAAGCCAAATTAAAATATTCAGACTAGAAACCCACACAGGCATAATATACAATGCCTCTGGGCTGGATGTCACAGCTATATGGATAGAGTTAGCTTTCCTCTTGCATACTCTCACCAGTAATCCAGGTCTTGCATTCCAGGATGCAAGGCAGATAATCCTTAAGAAAAATGGTAGAAGATTTCTAAACCAAATCTAGCCCTTAGTCCACTTACTAAGGTCCATTTCTGGAAAATAGCAAGTGCAAGTTGGAACTACATCAACTGGTTTTAGATTAAAGGCTTCCTGGATCCTGAAAATGCTATTACTATTAACTTAGTAGGCAAATGGTGGCCAACAGTGACAGCCATATTCCCTGTAAAGCATAATTCTATGATTTTAAATATTCATTTAGGTTACTATCCTCAGAAGATGAAACTAGGTTCTGAACATGAGTGAGCCAAAGTATCTAAGTAACCTGCATCAAGTGTCCAACTACCAGAGAAGGGCAGAAGCTCAGAACTATCTCTATGCCTAGTGTTTCTTTTGGACTAGTTTCGTTCAGTTCATCACTTAATATGCAAGCCTTCTGAATGTCACTTAATAGTCATTTATAGTCTTCAGTTACAGAACTGGGAATCTTGTTGCCATTTGATTATCTGAATCACTTTGCTGTAACCACATACCAAAATTTAGGCATTGCAATATCACACTATCTAAAGTTGACCTTAAAGTAGGTGGCTGGGTTATTGCTCTGCTTTTGAGAACTTCTCTCACTGAGATTCCTCACACTATTATACCGTAGTAACAATTCCCTGCTGGAGGGTGAAACAGTGAAAGGCACAACACACAGAAAAAAACAAAACCAAAAACTTATTTTCAGGAGATAAATATCTGAAAATCAAGAGCTGTAAGACTGGAATGAAAATTGGAAAACATAAAAGATATGTTTATCATAAAAGATATTATCATCTACTCCAGAGCTCACCATGGCAAAGTGTCAATTCTCAAAACAGAAGAAAAAGAAGAGAAAAGAAGAGAGCAACCATCAGTTAGTTTCATTAAACTGTGCTTTCCCATTTTCATTATTTCCTTTAAAGAACAAGAAACAAATATGTCGTCTATGCCATTCATCATATGTGCAAAATTCACAACTTCTGAATTTATAGAACACTCCCTGAAGTCAATGTGACATGTACCTGTGGAGGGTTTAAAGAAGAGGATATTTAAATAGAAATATTAGTTACAGAAGCATTACTGGCATTGACTTGCTTCTCAAGTTAAGAGATTACAAAAATTACTGGGTAAAAGAGACCAGAATTTTACTTCTTGCTACATTAGTTTTTCTATATTAAGAGTCCAGCAGAAGAGAGTCCACTGGTACAAAAGGTTATTCATAGTCTCTGCAGACACACTAGGCACAATGAACAGGAGAATTAATCCTTCATACATGGAGGTAGGCATTTCTGCAAGCACTGGGAAAACAGAGGCATTTATACTATTAATGAGAATGCTATAGTAGTTATATTTTTTTATAACTAGACTGCCTGACTATCAAGTCATTTATAAAAATGGACCTTTAATCTTGAAATAGAAATAATAAAGGAAATATTTTAACCTTACTAAAACTATCTGTTTGCCAGGGATTTACCCACCCTCAAGTTACCACAGATTTAGGCTATGGGAATCAATAAAAAAAAATTACACTAACTTGCACCATTACTATTAGCAGAATAACACTTCAGAAATTTAAAATATCGCAAGAGAAAGAAAAAGAATATATAATTCTTGTAAATAAAGCTCTATTGTTGAAAAATATTATTTGCCAGTCAAGGTTAATTTGTCAAAAGCAACAAATTAGACAAACTGTAGTTATAGATATGAGCTGCTATACCTTCTCTCTTACATTACCTTTCATGTGTTTGGCATTCTTGAAAAAACACAACTGCTCAATTAATTTTTTGTGTCTCAAGGACTACATAGAAATCAAAGCAGATGTGAGCACCAGAAGACTTGAGTCAAGTCTGAAATAGCAGAATGTAAATCAGAAGTTATAAACTAATTCAGCCTCTTTGCCAGTTCTAGGAAACAGCAGAATCTTCAGTGTATTTTTAGAAACATCTTTAAAATTTCATCTTTAAGAATGAGAACAAGAACAGACCAACCTAGTCTAAACCCTACAGACAAAAGCAAAAGCAAAAGAAAAAAGAAAAGAAAAATAAAAGGAACAATGAAAATCCCCATGAATACCAGCAAAAGAAATCACTGCATCCCTCACATTTTTTTTTAGATTTCCATGTAAAAATTACCAGAACTCTTTCTAAAATAAACACAGTCTGACAACTCTCTGGATTATTCTGGGAGTTCTTCCAGTATATTGTAGTATTAAACAAAGGTAAAAAATAAATTGACAATGTGATACAGATGCAACTTGAAGTTTCTCTTCTTAATGAATAATCTTTTCCCAAGTGATTTATCAGCTCAAGGATTGTGAAAACAATGTAAACATTCTCATATTAATTTATACAATGACAAGATTTGCAGTTTTACAAATGAAAAAAAAAAAAAGAGAGAGAATAAAAGAAAAAGGAATACTGACTGTACCTTTTCTTTTTCCTAACATATATTAGGCAAGGCAGATCTGCTTGCTAGGTGACTCGGAAACAATGGACAATATAATTCTACAAGATGAATATCTTTTTCCTTCTCATATTCCTGACTTGAACAGTTTATTATATTTACCTCTACAAATATCCATACACATAAAATTAAATATATGGAATATATGAAAACTAGAGCACAGAGTTATATAAAATAGGGCTGTAAAAGATTTAAGAAATTCATATAGGGCATCTACAGCTACAACTCTGACACATTCTTTCTAATTAAAACATCACACACAGGCTGTAGTCATCCTTCTATGAAACGAGGCAGAGCAAGAAAATCCTTTTTGTAAGTAAAGGATGAGGCTAAATGGATTTTGGTTTTCATTCAGTTACCTTTAAGAGATGGATAATACCTCTCCTTAGAAATAATAACTTCTGAGATAGTAACTTAATCTCTGCTTCTTAGTTCTCTACCAGGGGAATGCACATTAAACAGTCTTCCTCCAATCAGATTGTTGTAAGAATATACATCAGCAAGAACCAAACTGAAAAACCACATAAAACAGCCCATCACTGAACAAAATTGGGCCTAGATGTTCATGAGGAACAAGAAACCCATAGAGAGCAAGAAATCCAGAGAACTTCCCAGTAAATCTTGCTTTAGTTGCCTACTCAGAGGCATGCATATGTGGCAGAGCTACAGTAATATGAAATTGTGAGGTAAAATAAGTGTCCTTTTTTCTTAAGGACTTTTTTCACCACAGTCAGTAGAATAACTAAAAAAGCAAAGGAAAAAAAGTATTTTTGGTCAGTTGTTTTGGCTCAACCCTGAGTCCATATACCTAGACCTATCTTAGATAGTCAGTACATTCTATTTCCTAGAAAAGTTGTTAATTATAGGTTGTTTGGTTTTGTTTTTTTTTTCAAAAAGACTGAGCAATAAAACCTTACATTTACTGAAGACCAGCTTCTGCTATTATGCCAAAGGTAGTGGTTAATATTTGCATGTCCTCTCAAAACAGAAATTAGGAAATAAAGACACCCAAACAAGGGAGTTTTGAAAATGAACTTGCAAAAGGAATGAGCATGCTTGGTACAGAATTTGAAAAATCTCTGAGTTTGTAATTGAGCTTTTCTTCTCCCAAAACATCCCAGGCTGAACATTAATTTCGCTACTACACCCATGGCAAAAAGTCAATGGGAAAATAATTTAGAAAAATAAGTATGTTCATGTATGCAGCTTCTATGACATGGCTGAGCGTGCCAAGGTAACTCATAAACTAGAAGGGAAAAAAAAGCCCAACACACTTTTGTTAAAGCTTACAATGAAAAACAGAAAGAATCCAATAGAAAAAAAAAATCAACCAAGAAACATACAAAAATCCCCTTCCATCGTATTTATGAATTTGTTGCATGTAGTATGAGGTTTTTTGTTTGGTTTGGTTTGGTTTGGTTTGTTTTGTTTTTTTTTTTTCCCATTATTTCTTGACTTTATTTATGAAGACTATCACTACAGCAGTGCTGGACTTTATTGTTCTTATATGCAAGGTGGACTGCAGAAGAAATAAGTTCCTGTTTTGGTATTCTGTTTCTTTATTCTCAGCTTACAAAATCAGCTTATTACAAGTCCTTTGTAAGATATCCATCAGAACCAAAAAGAATAATCCACTGTTTAATTAACTGAATTGCAATGGAAACCCAATTATGGGA